TTTTTGAGATATAACGAAAGAAAAAAGAATTAATTTACATATAAGGGGTTGGTTCATCCCTTTAAACCGTTTTTTAGCATCAACTGATAACTTCTAAATTCATTTATTTATGTGACCTCAAAGTGTACCAAGTTCCATTAAAATTAGAATTTGACACTTCGCGAGGTTCCCTTGTCAGTACATATTTTTCTAATTGATGCTCTATTCTCCAGGTACGTAGCGAAATTGAAGCGAAGGAGCACGAGCAAGAGCAGGAGTTGGAGAAACTGGTGAAGCCGAAGGAGAAGTCGAAGAAGGAACTGCCACCGCCGCCACTGGAGAAGAAGGACGACGAGATGCAGTTCAAGACGAAGATCGGCCGGAACGTGTACAAGACCGTCATGACCATGAAGTCGAAGCAAATCGAGAGGAACGAACTGTTCACGCCGGGTCGCATGGCGTATGTGATCGAGCTGGACGACGAGAATGCCGACGTCGACATACCGACGACGCTGATCAGGAGCAAGGCAGACGTGCCGACGATCGACAACACGCCGACTCTCACGACCAACGATATCGTGATCAACAAGCTGGCGCAGATACTGTCGTACCTGCGCCAGGGTAGCCGCCACAGCAAGAAGGGCAAGAAGCTGAAGGACGGACGCGGCGGTGGCGGCGGCGGCGGCGGCGGTCGCGGCGACGAGCTGAACGACATCGACATCCAGCCGCGGCCGCCCGTCGCCGACGAGAGCATTTACGGCGACATTGGCGACTACGTGCCGGCGACGGTGACGGGCAAGGGCAGGGACGGGCAGACGCGCGAGAAGAAGAAGGGCTTGTACTTCGACAAGCCCGAATCGAATCTGGACACCGACGACAAGGCGAACGCGCCGCAATTGCCGAGCGCCTTGCAGCCGAACGCGGTGGCCGCCGTCGCCGCAGCCGCCGCCGTCGCCGCCGCCGCCGCCGCTGCCGCCGGCGGCGGCGGCGCGGACGGCAACGCGCCGAAGAAGGGCGCGTTGCTGAACAAACTCGCGGCCGAGCCGGAGGGATACGCCGAGTGTTATCCGGGCCTGGACGAGATGCAGGACGCGATCGACGATTCGGACGACGAGGTGGATTACACGAAGATGGATCTGGGCAACAAGAAGGGCCCGATAGGTCGCTGGGACTTCGACACGCCCGAGGAGTACAGCGAGTACATGAACAACAAGGAGGCGCTGCCCAAGGCGGCCTTTCAGTACGGCGTGAAGATGGCCGACGGCAGGCGCACCAGGAAGTACAACAAGGAGAAGAACGAGAAGGCGGAACTCGATCGCGAGTGGCAGAAGATCCAGAATATTATGAACAAGAGGAAACCGACGACGGCGATCGACGGCGCGTCCGAATTCAAAGTACCACGCTATTGAGCGTTCGACTTGTGAATTTTTCGTATTTTTCGATTTATCGCCTGGATGCGATCCGAAGAATTTGAAATTGTCACCTTGAATTGTTACGCGTTGGACGTTGGTCGAAGAAAAATCGCTTTGTCATCAGAAGCGAATTTTCTTTTGTTTGTATAAATGTAGTGAAGTTCTTTCGCGAAGGAATTTTGGAAAATTACACAATGCTATGCCAATCGCGACAAAAAGATTTTTTAATTGTACGAATTATCAGATATCAGATAAGCCGCTTTCCTTTTGGGAAATACAAATCAACAGATTAACATACTCGAGCACCCTCGATCTTTATATCGCGTGTATATATAGTCAAACGAAGTGCTACTAGTTAGTTTACGGATGCGTTTTATGTTCAATCGAACAAAGACACTTTTTCTGAGAAAAATCGAAGATTGAGTTCGAATAAAATCGTACATGGAGAGTGATTAGCTAAGTGAAAAATAGTCCCAACGGGAATCAACTTAAATATGAAAATTGTATATGTTGTATCATAGATATATAATATAATCTTACATTAATCTATAATACGCAATAGTTTGTTTTACGAAATAGTTTCCCTCGATAGCGTTAAGTATATGCACACACAATCTAAATGTAGTATATATGTGTATATATATATATATA